CTAATTTAAGATGCATCACATATGGAAAGTAATCAATTAGGGATTTGAAATTCTTTAATGGACATTGATTGGAAATGTAATTAGGAGCCTTAACGGAAATAGGATTTAGAGAGGAAAGAGGGGCCAACGGCTAAAGGAGGGGGGAGAAGTTAGGAAGGATTTCAAATAGTTTCCAAGCAAAGAAAATTTAATTAAAAGAGATTTAATGCCAATATCTCTTTTAATTTGAATTCTATTTCAAATTGATTTGATTTGAGAAACTTTCCAAATATAACTCATGTTAAATTAGGAAAGATTTCAAATTTCAAATTGATTCAAGATAAAATTAATATCCTTCCAAATTCGTCATGATCTATCTTAGGAAAGTAGTCAGCCTGAAAATTTTGGAGACAAAGGAGAGAAGATGTGGCCGGCGGCTAGGAGAGGGTTAGGGCCGGCGGCTAGGAAGGAGGAGAGGTGGAGGCTGGCGATTAAGAGGAAGGGGAAGGCTTTGGCCGGCGGCTAGGAGGAGGGGAGGTGAGTGTTGGGCTGGCAATTAGGAGGAAAACAGAGGGTGGTCGGTGGCTAGGAGAAAGGAGGGACGGTGGTGGAGATGGGGACCCGCGGGCTTGGGGAAAGGGAGGGAGTCGGTGGAGAAGATAAAGCACGAGCCCGGACGCTTTCTGCGGCTGATGGGTAATACTTTGTCATCACCTAGGGACTTCAAACCATGAACCCGGACGCTTCATGCGGCTGGTGGGTAATAAGTTGCCCTCACCTAAGGACTTCACCTCTCATAAGAACTCTCAAAGCTCTCAAGAACAAAGTGTTGAATTTTTTTTTCTTAATAATCATCCATCCCCTCAAAAGAATAAAAAATTATTATGTGCGGAGTCCAGACTCCAATGAAAATGCATCACGTACTTAGTACAAAGCGGTACTGAGGCTATAAATAGCGAAAATACAATAATAAGACAAACGACAAAAGTGCCCCCTAGTGTCACATAGGCCTACTCCCTCAAGTGAGGGTACAAAAAGAAAAAATGCATAAATAAATCAAAATACAAATAATAACTCAAAATAAAATGGTACAATCATGGCCGTCGATCTTCGGCTTCTCCTCTGATAAACTTTCATGATCGGATGTCCTCATCAAATTCATCAGTAAAGGTAGAATTTAACTTCTAGTTCATTTATTATACATTACAAAATAAGTAGATGAGGTTGATTTCTAAATAAATTGTAAATTATCCTCCAATAATTGCCACAAGCCGCCACCACAACGATCCACTGTCGCTGCCCATCGTCACCCATCCCCACCTAGTGATGCCCAACGCCAATGCCAATCATTAATCGTTGCCATTCACTGATCACCATTATCGAGCTTTACATTGAATTCATTTTACTACAAACCAAACATAAAAGTATAATCTCTCACATTTGTTATATGCTCAACCAATCTACTCTAAAATATTTCAAATACACTACATTTATTCTACACTACATTTCTTTTACTATGTATGACTGTATTGCTCTTTAGCAAATCAAATATCCCCAAAATCAAAGCATCACTTTAAACACTTATCACTTCTGAATATAAGCATATAATAGAAAGGAAACAAAATTGATGGATGTTAAAAATATCTATTTTATCAAATAATTATACAATCAAAAGGATGTTGCAAAGTATGTCTTAGGAGTTAGGAGAATCAAAATAAAAAGTTTCTAACAGTAAAAATAACTAGTAATAGAATCAAAATATGTACAAAAAGATTAAAAATAAGAAATTTTGCTATAAAAACTATTTGAGGTATAAAAACTTTAAAAATTGGGAAAGATATATAGGGTCCTTAGGAATTCTAAGAAAACAATATGTGATGCTACGAATATGATTTTTAGTTAATTTTATAATAGATTAGATACAGATGATGATAAAAGATATATATAGAGAGAGAGAGTGAGTGAGTGAAAGTTAGTTAGTTAGGTAAAAAAGATATAGGATAAAGATTTAATTCAAGTGAGGTGCATTATGGATAAAAAATAAAAAAATTTCTTAAAAGAGGATATTCAATATGGATGGATGAGATCTTTGAACAAATTTTTCAATGAATGGTGTGAGAATACAATTGAAAATAAATATTTTTATTTTTATCATAGCTGGAGAGGCTTTAAAGAAAACGAACTATGGAAAAAAAGCAGGATGACATTCCAATAGATGTATGGAAATACTTAGGAAATCAAGGAATTTCTTGGCTTACTAAGCTTTTTCAATATTTGAAGAACAAAAAAGATGTCAGATGAGTGGAGAAGTGTGTTGGTTCCTATTTTTTAAGAATAAATGTGATGCACAAGAGTACAATAACAACAACATCAAGCCTTTGTCCCACTACGTGGGGTCGACTACATGAATCCTTTTTCGCCATTGTGTCCGCTTAAAAGTTAAATTCTCATTTAAATCTAATAAAGAAAAATCATTTAATCATTTCTAATATTTTATAACCAAGTCTTTTTAGGTCTAATGCACAAGAGTGTACTAATTATAAAGGAATTAAATTTATGTGACATAAATTAAAATTATGAGAGACTAATTGAGCATATATTATGATGTGATACTAATATTTCTCAAAATTAATTTAGATTCATATCGGGCATGTCTACTATGGAAGATATACATTTATTGAAAGGTTTTATGGAGAAATATAAAGAGTGTAAGAAGGATCTACATATGATATTTATTGATTTAAAGAAAGCATATGATAAATTTTCAAGAGAAGTGCTTTGGAGAGTTCTAGAAAAGAAAAGAATTAATAATCCTAATATTCAAATCATTAAGAATATGTTTATAGGAGCTATTAGTTGTGTTCAAACACAAGGAGATTCAACCAACTATTTTCCTATTTTAGTTGGATTATATCAGGGATTAACTTTAAGCCCATATCTTTTTTTTATAGTCATGAATGTTCTTACTAGAAATTTGCAAGAGGATTTCCCTTGGTGTATGCTTTTTGCTGATGATATTCTTCTTGTTAATAAAACTAAGAGAGAGTTGAAGAAAAACTTGAATTACAGAAGTCAACTTTAGATTTTAAAAGTTTACATTTGAGTAGAGATAAAATTCAATATATGGAGTGTAATTTTAGTAGTAATAGATCTAGGGGTGGGATTGTGACATTGGGTGATCAAAAAGAGCTCAAGTTTTAAATATCTCATATCTATTGTTCATAGCAATGGTGAAATATATTGGATAATATTAGTAGCATTCAAGTTGGATGGTTAAAGTGGAGGAATATAACAGGCATGTTGTGTGATAGAAAAGTAAGATAAAATTTTAAAAGATTGTGGGGAGACCTGCAATGCTTTATGGCACATAATGTTGGTCGTTAAAAGAGAAACATAAAATTAAGTTAAGTGTTGCAAAGATGAGGATGCTTAGGTGGATGAGTAGCTTTATACTTAGAGACAAAACTCAAAATGAGTACATACATGAAAAGGTGTTAGAGTAGCTCCAATGGCAAATAAGATTTGAAAGAGTCGCCTTAGAATATGGTTTGGTCACAGAAAATGTTAGTCTTTCGATGATCCTATTAGGAGACTAGATGTATTAGAGTTGGCCTGTGTTAAGAAGCTCGAGGTAAACCTAAAAAGTCTTTGTAAAAAAGTACTAAAAGTGACTTTTTTATTAAATTTAATGAAAATTTGACTCGTAATATGACAATGGAGAAAAATGATTCATGCAGTCGACCCCACGTAGTGGGATAAAAACTTCTTGTTCTTGTTGTTGATTATATAATCCAAAAACCTGAACTTGGAAATGATAGTTTTAATATATTGCAAATTGATTATATTCAAACTTTAAACGTAATAGATAATATTTTAAAAAAAAAAATAATATTTTCAAAACAAGATCAATATTGTATATATAATGTTACATCAAACACAAATAACATGAAATTTCTTTAATATAGATTATTATTTTTCATTTGAGAATATTTTAAAAGCTTATATTCTTAAAAAAATACATGTATATAATATTTTTCTATCAATATAACTAGCATTAAAAAAGGTCTTTAAATACATTAGTATCAAACTTTATACAGTAGGAAGAAGCACATTTTCAAGCATGAATAGGCCAAAACTTATGCATCAATATTTCTGACAAATATTACAACTATAAAGAGGTATAAGGCATTTTTAGACCAAATTTCCCATTGAAAACCTTGTAAAAATACCCACAATGAAAATCACACAAATCAAGCTTACACGGCTACCAAATAAGAATTCAGTACAACAGCAAGTTTGTTATTTAGCCCTGTCAGATCTACACTTATCGGAGAAGAAATAATTCTAGCAGTGAAAAACAGAACAAACGGTATGCTATAAAACAGTACTGCATTTATTAGAATCTTCATGCATCTTTGGCCTTAATTCAATGTACCACAAAAACTTAGCTGATTCATCGTCGCCATTTCACATTAGGAATATGTTAGAGCTACAGATTTTTCATCACAACACCATCCTTTCAATCAAAATATTTGACCTTGTTTACGAATACCCTGGCATGCATTCCTGTTTGGAGCTAAACAAGTATGCATGGCTGCAGTTCACATTTGCAACTTAATTTTTTTTGCTTTTAAGAATGGACTGAATGATTCAACCGCTCCTAAAGCACTGTTATATATCACTAGTTTGCAAATATAACTCTCAAAACTCAAAAGCTTATTACTACAGCAAGAATACCATCATCAAACAAGCAACAATTCAAAGTGGTGAGAGAAGGATCAATTGACATGCCTGCAGATAAGATATCGACACAGTATCGTGCAAAGGAGACGTATGAGAAAGAATATCCTCCATAGCTCTAACCATGATTCCACGTTGAGAAGGATCATCTTTTTCGAGTCGACCAATGGTGTATGTTTTTCCAGTACCTGTTTGACCGTAAGCCATAACTGTCCCATTATACCCATTTAATACACGCTGCAAAAATAGATTAAATTACAGAAAGCATTCGAAAGGACCATACTCGAAAAGGAAATGACAATAAAACAAAAATTAAATGCACTGCCTAGGAGTACTTGTGATAGTATGTATAGTACCATTCCGAGTTTACTATAAGGATAAGGATTCAGAGTTATAATAATAGTAGTTTTGTATAGTATAGTAGTACTATTGTACAATATAGTACATTATATGAGTTTTGTAGTATTGTATAGTAGTATAATAGGATAATACTACTTTATACTACTATACTATTCTATACTACATATACTACACTATATAATACTACTCTATACTACTATACTATTTTATACTACTATACTATTCTATAATCTATACTATATATACTACACTAAATAATACTACTCTATACTATATAACTACTCTATATATATACTATATTACTCCATACTATATATATCACACTATACTTGTAAAACCCGAAAACTGTCGATCGGATGCGTCGCACGCATTTCGATGCGAATTCGACGCAATAAATTTTATTAAAAATTTTGATCGAAACGGTATAAAGAACGTATACCCAATTTCGCACTGTTTGAAAATTAAAAATCGCCGAAGATGTTTAAGTAAATTTAGCCCTTATATACACAAATTACCCTTCATGAGATAATAGAGAAATAATGGGAGAGGGGCTAATGCAAGCAAAAATTAGGATTTGCAAGCAATAGAAAACAACTTCCTAGAAAATAGAAAATTACATAAATTACTCAAACTATACAAAATACAACTTTTATAATATAAAGACGACTCTTACAAACTTATAGCATTACAACAAACACCTTACAATTCTTGACAAACATAAGATACCTAAAATTGCATTTCATTCGTCGCTTTGAGAAGAAGGATACAAGTGGCGACGAACTTGCGGAGAAAAGAAGGAGATACGAAGACGAGACGAAAGAGGAGGACAATCTCGCAAGCTTTCCCAACAAGGAGAGTAAGAAGTGGAACAAGCTCGCGAGCTTTTCCAAGAAAGAAGAAAAAACCCTCAGGTTTTTAGATCCAAAAATACCATTATAACACATTTTTTTTATTCACAAGACACTTATATTTATAGGAGAAAATGGGCAGCCAAACATCCCAAAATACCCTCATTTAAACCCATTAAATTCAAGTAAATGGAAGGCCAAAAGTCAGCCCAAAATAGCACTTGAAAAGCCATCAAAAGGGGCAGCATTCACTCCAAAAACAGCAACCGGACAGCCACAGAAATTTCATAAACAGCAGCTGAAAAGCCACACATGAAACCAAGAAAATCAGCCACGGGTCAAGCAGTTAGGTGGGGAACCAAGGGGGCAAAAGCAGCCACGGGACAACCTGCCAGGGGAGGAACCGAAGGGGCTGCACAGGAGACCGGAATAGCACCCAACAATGGAGAAGGAACAACTCACAGGAAACAGCACTAGGGGAGAACCGAAGGGGCTGCACAGGGACCAAAACTAGCAGCCAGGGGAGCTGAACCAGGAGGGACAACCGAAGAGACCAAGGGAAGGGGAAGGGGAGTTAAGGGGGGAAACAAAAGAGCCTTTAGAGAGGGGAGTAAAGGGAAGGGGGGGGGAATGAATCTAGTTTGGCATTAAATACACAATAATGAGTTGATTAAGAGGTAAAAGCTCATTAATGAGTTGACTCTACTAGAAACTTACAAAATTTTCAACTCAACTTATTTTGACCCCCCCTAGGGACAACCGAAGAGACCAAGGGAAGGGGAAGGGGAGTTAAGGGGGGAAACAAAAGAGCCTTTAGAGAGGGGAGTAAAGGGAAGGGGGGGGGAATGAATCTAGTTTGGCATTAAATACACAATAATGAGTTGATTAAGAGGTAAAAGCTCATTAATGAGTTGACTCTACTATAAACTTTAAAAATTTTAACTCAACTTATTTTGACCCCCCCTGCCTACATCAATTCTCCTCTAGTTGAAAATGCTCATCTCCCGATGAGGTTGCTTTAATTTTCTTCCAATGAGGCAAAGGAGGTGCATCAAGCTTTTGAATCTTTGCTTCATATTTCTTCAGGATCTCACGTTCTTGCTTAAATTGTTCTTGCAGACGCTTCTTTTTCTTCAAATAGTTTTCGGTACTCATATGCAATTTCATCTGTAATTTGAATAGCTCATTCTGTAGGGGATCTGTCAAACTTCCTTCTGTCGGAACCCATCTGTCCATAGGAATGTTTTCTTCGAGATCTTCTAACTGATTTTCACCTACCACTGGATCACTGCTTTTATCTTTTTTCATTTTTTTTTCCAAACAAATAAAAGAAGACTCAACAAAATTTAAATTCACTTGATACCAAGACTCAAATGACAACATGACACATAAACCTAGGAATTTACTAACTCGCTCTCATACCAAATTGATGCAAGCAAATATTTAGGGAGACCCCAACTTTTGCAAGCATATTACAAGATTTCCTAAATACGTAAGAAAATACACAACATACTCAAAATGACACCTTTTATAACAAAAAGGACGCTTACAAACGACACATTAAACACTTTAAAACATAACAATGACACTTACAAACTTATAATCAGGAAACACCTAAAAATGCCTTTTATTTGTCGAGAAGAAGGATACAAGTGGCGTCAAACTTGCGGAGAGAAGAAAGAGGTAAGAAGTCGAGATGAAAAGAGGACAAGCTCGCAAGCTTTCCTAGAAGAGAAGAAGCACAGAACAACTTTCAATCTTTTCCAAAGAATGAAGAAAAAACCCTAAAGTTTTTTACTCCAAAAATTCCATCATAAGCTCTCTTTTTATTCACAAGACACCATATATTTATAGGAGAAAAGGGGCAACCAAACATCCCAAAATACACTTATTTAAACTCATTAAATTCAAGTAAATTGAAGGCCAAAAGTCAGCACAAAACAACACTTGAAAAGCCACCAAAAGGGGCAGCATTCACTCCAAAAACAGCAACCGAACAGCCACAGAAATTTCAGAAACAGCAGCTGAAAAGCCACACAAGAAACCAAGAAAATCAGCCACGGGTCAAGCAGCCAGGTGGGGAACCAAGGGGGCAAAAGCAGCCACGGGACAAGCTGCCAGGGGAGGAACCGAAGGGGCTACATAGGAGATCGGAACAGCACCCAGCAAGGGAGAAGGAGCAGCTCACGGGAAACAGCACCAGGGGAGAACCGAAGGGGCAGCACAGGGACCAGAACCAGCAGCCAGGGGAGCCGAACCAGGAGGGAAAACCGAAGAGAACAAGGGAAGGGGAAGGGGAGTTAAGTGGGGAAACCAAAGAGCCTTTAGAGAGGGGAGTAAAGCAGGGGGAATGAATATAATTTGGTATTAAATACACAATGATGAGTTGATTAAGAGGTAGAAGCTCATTAATGAGCTGACTCTAGTAGAAACTTACAAAATTTTCAACTCAACTTATTTTAACCCCCCCCCCTTGCCTACATCAGGGGCACATGCGTCCTTTTATCTAACACCCATCTTAAAGCCATAAGGGACCAAAATAATTGGTCCCTTGTGCTTGTTTCGGCCAAACCAAAGGAGAAGCGGGCGGAAGAGAGGGGGAGGACATCGGGGGACGCGAAAGCCAGCAGCCGGCTTGGTCTTCCGGCGAGTTCTTTAGGAAAAAGCAAGATGAAGGCTTGGGAAAGTCTAAGGTATGATTTCTTGAAGACATTCCTAAACTTTTCATATGATTTTCCTTGAAAAAAAATTCTAGCATTTCTTCCAAAAATTGTTTCCTCCAAAATCTCTTTACATTAAAGATTTTCCTTACAATTAAAAACGTTTTTATGCTTATAAATCAAACTTTCAAGGGAAAACTTTTGAGTTTAGAAATTAGGGTTTTGTTGAAACGTTAAAATCTTTTTGAGTGAAGGTTAGGGAAGGCTTAGGAACAATTTTTAGCCATGAAAATGCAAGATTTCTTCAAAGGATTTTAGGTTCAATTCTTAGGGTTTTTTTCTAATTTGAAAAATGTTGATGCATGCTTACCTAAAGTGTTTCCAAATAACATTAGGAAGGCTCTAATGGTGAAATTGGGACATTTTTCACAAAATTCTATTTTTCCCTAGTTTTTATATGTTTAATCCAAAAATTAAATGCCCTAAAATTATAATTAGGTAAGAGGGATGTTTTAATATGCAAATTGAATGATATTAGTGAAGCATTAGGTTTCCCAAATTTTGATTTTAAGTAAAACCGAAAATTTCATTTAAAATTATCTTAATTAAGGAAGGAATGTGTTAAAATACATTAGATTATGGGTTAATAATAAAGTAATTACCAATTAGGATTGATTTATGATTTATTTTAATCAGGATCTATGTTAGGTAAAGTTTACATTAGATTTCAGACTTTGGTAATATGTGTTAACATGCATGACATTCAATTAAGGAAAATATTGATATAACAACAATATTAGATATGTGGTAAATTAACATTTATATGAATAGATATGTGATAAACATGCTTTTGGTTATGAGTAGGTTAGAGAGTATTAAAGAGCTTAAGGAGAGAAATTCATTAATGAAATGTGTAGGGTGTAGGGTTAGAGAGGTAGAATTGATTTGTAATGGTATAAGAAGCTTATATTGTTATGTTGTCAATTTTTCCCTTGGGTTTTGAAAAAAGGGAAGTGTTAAATGTTTGAAAGAAAATGACATTTGAGGTAAGAACACCTTACTCTACAAATTCATATTCCTGTATTTTCTGTTTTAAAATGTCTCATTAGTTGATACATATTACATGCATATGAAATATTCTTATTAATTGATAGAAATGTATATTAAATATTTCTATGAATCAATGCATATTTGATGTTCTCAAGCATATTAAAGTTCTAATTATTTGATAGTAACAATGCATATAAGTCTCTTTCATATTAATTTGTCTCATACTTAATGCATATGATTGATATGAAAATGTTACACTACCTATCTATATTTCTATGAAAATAATATTTAAATGATTGTGCATGTTGAAGGCGGAGTACCAAAATATGGTGCAAAAGCACAATATGACTCTTATGAGCAATATGGCTCTTCGGGGTAAAAGAGGAAAAGAAAATAAATAGCCAAAAATATGTTTGTGTATCTCATCAGTACACTTTTGGTACTCAGGTACGGTTGTATAAGATAAAGAATAAGCAAGCTTAGACATAAGACATATGACATAGTTGAAAACATATGCATATGAACTACCGTATGACACTTAGCATATACATAAAAACTAGCACGAGATATACATATGACACTTAGCATATACATATGACACTTAGCAAAACAATCATGACATTTCACTTTTAGCATACATGTTAATTTTCATTTAAATAGCATATGAAGATGTTAGAGTTAGTGTTTCCTATTGAGCTCTAGCTCATTCCCTAATTATGGGATTTTTTCAGGAGAACCCGCTGCTAAGAATGGCTGACCGCCCTTGGTACACCTACAGTCGTAGAGGATCGGATGACAGGTTCCTCTTATGTCTCTTTTAGTTGTAGTTTACATAATTTTGGGTGGTTTGACATAAATGATAGATTTTATAGCCAATTTTGTATATATGTGAATCTCCTTATGAAATGACATGAAATGTTTAATCTAATTTGGAAATTGTTTAGAGACACTTTTAGTTTCCTTTTAAAGTGTTTTAGATTTCTTAAATGCATGTTTTAAGAAAATTTCATGTTCTGAACGTCCGACATCCGTTCCCGCCTTGTCTAAACGAGCTCACTGGGCCAGGTCGTGACGATACTACTACTACTCTATACTATATAACTACACTATACTCTATATACTTCTACTTTATACTATATAATTACACTATACTATATATACAACTACTACTACTCTATAACTTCTATATTATTATATTATATTATATTATACTACTATTATGTTATATATAATAACAATATTACTACAACTGTATATTATATAACTGCACTATACTATATATACTACTACAACTATACTTTATTATACTACTACTCTATACTTTATAACTACACTATACTATATAACAACACTATATTATATATACTACATTATACTACAACTATTATATACTATATAACTACACTATACTATAATTGTACTCTTTAATACTACTACTGTATACCATATAACTACACTATAATATATATACCTACACTATACTCTATATACTACTACAAATTATATAAATACACTATACTATATATACTACTACCACTGTATAACTACTATATTACAATAGTATATTATATTATATTATACTACTATATTACTACGTAACTACATTATACTATAATACTATTCTATATACTACTATTATATAACTACACTTTACTATATATACTACTAATACTATTGTATTATATATATATTATTGCATTATACTACAGCTTTATGCTATATAACTACTATATACTATATATACTATATTATACTAGAACTATTCTATATTATATAACTACTCAATATTTTATATACTACACTATACAACTACTATTATATAATATATAACTACACTATATTATATATATACTACTCTATACTACTATTATTTTATATTATATAACTATATTGTACATTATATACTACTCTATAGTACTACTCTATACTATATATATTACATTATACTATGTATACTACTATATTCTATATATACACTATACTATACATACTACTTTATACTATATATACTACATTACAGTTATACTACTCTATACTACTATAAATCTATACTATATAACTACTCTATATTATATATATAATATACTATATATACTACACTACACCACTACTACTCTACTATATAACTATCCTATACTATACTATACTACTCTATACTATATAGCTACAACATATAATATATACTACACTATACGACTACTGCTCCAAACAAAAATAACTACAGTATACTATATATAACACTATACAACTACTGTGCACTATATATACTCAACTATACTATATATACACTATATATACTACTCTACATTATATACTACTCTATACTATTGAGGGCAAAATAAAAACATATTAAAAGATGGAGCACCTGATCATCACCATATTAACGAACAAAATCATTACCTCCACTACTGGCTTTGCAACAGCTTCATAAACTCGTCTTTGAGAAGCGCTTTCAGTAAAGACCTCATCAAATCTATAAGATTCAGATTTCCAATTATTCTTTCTTAACTTCAACCTCTTCAACTGCATGCCACAAATTCAAATAATTAGCCTTAATATAATATGGACATGCGTGTAACATTTAAACCAGAATACTAAAGTGGCAAATAAATAAATAAAAGATAAAAATGATTACTACAAAAAAAATACAAGTTTATTAAAATTACAATTATATAACATAGATATAGAAAGATAGAAGGAAAAGAATAGTGGACCTCAGGCAGTGACTCAACACAGTCAATAAAATCAGATTCAAGAGAGAGATCCTCAGCATTTTTGGGGCAAAGTCTAACAGCAACTCGAACTCTTTCAGAATCTATAATAGCATTTAAAAACTTGTTCATAAATCACTGGCAAATCATAAATGATAATCTACTAAATAATCAAAATTGCATAAGATTCTATTTGCATGAGCATATGCTCATTATGGTTTGATAAGAATATAACCTTACTGAGACTAAAATTTTATTTATGGATGAGAACAAGAAAGCAAACAAAAAAGTTTTAATCTTTACATCAAGAATAAGATAAATTAATAGTCCAAGATATAGCAAGAGGAGCATGAAACCCAAAATCCTGAAGTTTATGATGGCAGGTCCCAAGAACCTTCGCCAGGGCTCATAGATAAAATGAAGAGAACCTAAACAATTCATTCTTATTCCATAAACTATGCATGCCAAGGTCAATTGAAAAACAGTCTTCATAACTCATAAGATCAGTCTTTTAAGTTAGGCATGCATAATCCTGCGAAGAACCTAACATAACATGTTTTAAGAAGGATGTCATTATCGAATTATTGAACATATGCAGGCCCTTAACTGAAAATAAATTTACATTAAAATTAAAACCTCCATTGGCGATCTCATACCTAGAATAGAATGGCAGAGAATTAACATTAGCTTGACAACAAATCATAAAACTTATGCAAAACTAATGAAATTAATCAAAATGTGAATTGTGATAGTTCTCATGCTAGGCTTGAAATAGTTGGGCCTTGGGACAAAGCTAGTGATGATGAGCATCATCATCATTGAAATTGATGAACTAGATCATCACTTGATGCAAGGCATAAGCATATAAAATGCAAATCTCAGTGTATTAATCAACATAGATAAGCAACAATGTCAATTGACACAAGCCGTCATAACCTTCTAATAAGAATATCTGCTATCATACAATACCCAAGCATACGATAAGGTTGTCAGTTCATAACACACAATAACAAAATGTAAGAATTTTAAGCTAATAAAAAAACCATCTTGAAAATAAAAGCAAAGGTAAAGATGACATAAGATATCACCCTACTATCAAAAGCATACCATAAGGTCATCAATTCAAATCTATCCATCTAAGAATATGAGAATAAAACATTTAAAGTTCGTGAGGACTCTAATGATTTAATGTAAGTTATCGTTCTCTAAACAGATCATATTTGTTGTTACCATAACTCTCATCATTCTTTTTGTCAAAAGACCCGAAACAATAATTTAAAATAAAATCCACATTGTCCCAAAGTTCAAGCGATGTCATTATACATACATCCTATTCTACAAGTAGAATACACCTAATAAGTCCCGCCCTCAAAAAAGAACCCAATAATGCATTGTAACATGGAAATATCATGCATGAGCACGACATCGAATGAGTTGTGTCATGCCTAGAAAAGCTTATCCAACCAACTCAGGTCAGCTCATCAGAACTCTAACTAATAATCTTTGATACTTGGTCAACATAAGCGTACAAATACAATCAAGTAGCAAAATAACCATTAACTCATTCACACTTATCGGCCCAGTTCAACTTGCCAATAACAACAAAGTTCATTGCAAGTGTTTCCAACATCCATAGCGAACAATAGGCATGTTGTGAAAGTCTAAGTGTTCATCTTACACTTTGCGTAGCTTTCAACGATAATGGATGGGCCACACAATATCACTTCCCCGTCTTTGGACTTCAATGTTGGCCTAGTTGCAATAGGACAATTGTTTTCCTTTTAGTTGTAAGGTACCCAAGGGGGGAGCAAGAGATTGCTAAGAGTCAACATTGACAACTTTAGAGGGTACAGATAAGATCAAAATCAACCTTAAACTTCCATCACCTATCTCAAGTTACATACTCATCATCAAATTAATCATACAAGAATCATAATAATGACATATTGAAACATTAGTAAATCCACACGAGTGAAGGGCACATCAATCGCCCACTTCAAAAGTAGCATGGTGAAGCAAAAGGCAAGTCAAAACAAAAGGGTCTATAAGATACTCTTACTCCTACAAAATCAAAGAGCTAAATAAATCACATAAAATACCAAGATGACCACCAAAAATAAGCAAGCACAAGCACAATTATGTAGTCAACACCTCAACACTTTTGTTAGGACAAAAAATAGCTTGAACTTGGTTATAGACATGATTCCTACACTTTTTAATTAATTTTGAGAATGGTAGACCTCAATCCATTTTGTTTTCTTTAAGTCAACTTTTTTTTAAGTCTGAGGTAAGAGCTAGAAAGTGTGGTGATTTCTCAAGGACCCTTCAACTTAAACCATTTTCTCCTCATGCAACTGACTTGCAAAAGCCTTCTCTAAGTTAAGAAACCATTAGGGAAGCCTACCGGTAAGTTAATGTACATGCATCAATTCTCCTAGCAATTGAGGTGTAACTAGCATATAACAAAAAAGGTTATGCTTTCTTGATAATCAAAATAACTTAGCTCTCAAATACCTAGTTCAATAAATAGAGGGCAAATATATTAGACAATCGCAAGGCTCAAGTATAGAAAAAAGGACATTATGTTAAGTTAATGTAAAGAAGCTTTGTTTGACATTAATGTTAAGAAGACACAATTCTGGAATCGGCTTGAACTAGGCTATGGCATTGAGATCAGGTGTTCGTCTAGTGGCAAATGAAAGAAATCGACTTATTATTTTAAAACTCGCCTTCAAAAAATAAAAAATGGTTTTAAATTTTGAGGGCTTACCAGCCACTTCTTTTAATTTCACTTTTTCCATTAAATAATAGTAATAAAAAAATATGAAGTTAATGAGGGATGACTAGCTGCTTTACTTTTAAATAAAATAATAATAAATTAATAAGGATAAGCTAAAATAAAACACCATGCATCGTAAATAAATATAAAATTTTAATTTATAAGATGTGATCATGTGAGTCATGCTATATACTTAAACATCATTGACATTCATTGTAAGCCAAAATGTCCCCTCCCTTGATTGCACAAACTAAAAGCCACATATAAAAACTAAAATTCACTATCCAATTTTAGCATCATTCCAACCTTACATACCTTAAACAAGAAAAAAGGGCATTCATGCTTTGAACAAAAAAGCTCTTTAACATAACCCGCCATGAGTAGACAACAATTCAACGAGTCCAAATCTTCTCCTACTAATGTCTTGCATTTTTTTCATACAAAATAAAATAAGCATAGTATCACAGGGATCTATAAGCGTATTCATAAGTCCATTTCATAAATGCAATGTCTTAGTGGAGGTGCACGCTTTGCGAAGGGGTCGGGGTTTGTTTTATTGTGTATTTTCCATACAAATGAAATCATGATTTAACGCAATCTTCTAAAAGCAATTAGTTGGAATTGGATGCACTATCCAAAAAAAAAGGTCTAAATATTGAATGAAATCCTCTCAACTCCATTATATCAGCAGAGTAGAGTATCTTCTCGGTGGCGCACTGGCTTGCTTGCTTGCATGCATTTGTGCTCATATGCAATGTTCTAACGAGCAAGGTAGTCTCCCGTGAAACCATAATCCCTCGCATGTAATGTCTAATGAGCGTGGTCATCTCCCACATAGCCCAGATCATGTCACTTATGCTTGTCTACTTCTCGTGCAAATGTATGACATGGTCTTCCCTCATTGCAATGAGACGTGACTATCTTGTGTGTCTTCTAGCATCAAAAAACCCTTCCTTGCACATATCCCCCCTGGTTGCAATCTACGAGTGTAGGCAGCATTTGCGTTGTGGGTGCTCACCCTACGGCTTGTTGTCGGGTCCATACATTGCATTTGATGCTTATGCCCATTCATGGTGTCAACATCTCACCAACTCTCAATCCCTTTGGATCCTAAGCTGGCCTTGATGGTGTTGTACCATTGTGCTTTCTCATCTGTGGTAGATTTTTATTCTTTCACTTGTGCTCATTCTCTTTCGTTGGTCACTTATGGGGGATCTTTTGAAATCCTTTTTTCATCATAATCACTTCGGATGCCCTCTTCTACTCCCGCGGTGTTTCACACAAGTCTTTGGTTGACACCACAATGAGGTTGCTACTTCCTTCCCATATGGCCCCTAACTCTCCCAAGGCTCCTCCTCCTATATCATCTCCAGTGGTTGTGCCCTCTCCACAATCATTGTACTCTTTTGCAAATCTTGTTCATGGTTTGAATGTTGCATACATTAACCACTCTCCATCCAACAACCCTCCACTTTTCTTTCAACAGAATCAAACAACTTGACAACCTAAATATACTTATTCTTTTCAAGACAAGCCTTTTCTACTCTTTTCTAATGAGGAGGTGTCTATGCTTGTGAGGTCACTCACCCTCTCACTTATTAGCAAATTTTGTATGGATCATCCAAACATGGAGGTAACTCTCATGTTCTAATCTATGATGCAGTGTCCGATCATTAGCAGTGGTAAAATTAGGATTTCAAATGAAGTGATAAGAGTTCACCTAAAATTTTGTACGAGTCAAAGTTTTTATAATATATATGACTGAGAGAGATTTTAGATGTAAAAACTTTCATTTCAAACATAACTATACAGCATTTTTTTTCAAAACTAAGGAGCGAGAGCCACCCCTAGCCCCTTAAGCTACGCTTTTACCGCTGTGTATAAGCCCTAGTTCACCAAATTACAAACTGAACTTTCATGCAAGCCAATAACTAGTCTGCTGAAACAGCCAACCAACGGCCTTGAATAGCATTCTAAAAGGGGGATAAAAAAAAGGACAAAATTATTACCGGCATCATCATCATCAAAGGACGCCCTCAGGCTTGAGGTCATGGAACGCTTTAGTCCGGCCGCCTTCGCACGTGCAAACGCAGGGATCCCACCGCCACCGCCCACACCAACGAGTTTCGTTGAGGGCAAGAGCCTTTCAGAGCGCATAGATGCACGGGATTGAGGAAGCGAGGCCATGGCCGTGGCAGATGATTGAAAACCGTGGGAAAATCTAGATGAAGAGCGGGAAAGCCAACAGAGCTTCTTGATCAGGAGAATGAGGAATGAGGAAAGCTTCGTGGGTTCCGCGTCGAGGCCGGCACGATCACTGGAGCCGGCGGGCTTATATCAGTACGATTGGTCGATTTGAGTATGCGGGTCCATAAGCCTTTGGCTATATTTAGGGAATAAAATCTACGAGCTCGATCCTACTCTTTTAATACGAGAAAGAGAAAATAATTTTGATTTAAACCATTATTATAATAAGGTAATAAAAATAATTAAAAATAAGAAGAAAAATTATAAAGAATAACTAATATAAAAAGTGAGATATAAATTTTAAACATTTTTAATAATTTTATACTTGAAAAAATGAATGCTAATATAATTTAAATGTATTTTATATTAATACTTTTTAATGAAGTCAACTCAAGAGCTAATAAGTCGAGTAAGGACTGGACAAAGCTTGGGTCCTTAGCTCATCGAGCACGGCTCACGAGCCATTCATTGAATCGAGCCCGAGTAAGCTCACGTGTCAGCTTGACTCACTTACACCCCTAGTAGGAACTGATAAGATGATAACAACAATGATGGTGTCATGCCTCGAGATCTAAAGTGAAGGAATTTTATCTCTTTTCCCTTTGATCATGTTTATTTTCTTCTTAAAATCCATTTATTTTCTTATTTTTAATTAACGTCCAATATTATTCACGACTAGATTATTGATAACCATAGCTAGTTCACTCAAAGAAATATAAGCAATATGACAACATAATTATGTTACTACAATTAAATTTTACATTCTACTATAAAATTCAAAGACATATATATAATAGCTTGCACATTCTACAAAAATAACACATGTAAAACTAAAGAGCTAAAATATAACTTAATTAGCAACACTATCTAGCCTTATGTTGTAGGCTCATTATATTTATCTAAAATCATATAATGAGCACAAAAGCTCAGCAAGTAATGAAAACTTATCACTGCATTCAATGTAATGCAAAATAAATCAATATGGATGCTCCAATTTCAGTTCATGACAATCAATAATCAATACAAAATTTATAAAACTCGTATCAATCAATAGTAAAACTAATATGATTAAAAAAGCCAAAAGATATATCAAATCACCAAAATATATATATATAAATGACATCAATCAATGGGCCATGTTAGTATGTCGTGTTATGTTGTATCAATATCAATGTCTGCTTTATTAGTAGACTTTGGTTCTATCTATCAATCAGTTTAATATATCATTGTGTAAATGCAATCATAAATACAATAATAAAGAGAAAGGTGGAAATTTTAGGTTTAATGTGATATTTTTATCATTCGACCCCAATCGTCGCCCAATTGGCCATCAACCTTTAATTTAACCCCAAATGTCGATCAGTTGGTCATCAGTCTTTATGTTACCATCATTGTTTATTATCTTAAGTTAATTTATATGTGAGTTTTAAAATTATTTAAGAGTTATCATCATCTACCCATTGTTGCAATTCGGTTAATCGATTGGAAGCCACAACCAAGATCACTCAAAAAACATTTAATTTAAAGAAAAATACATTGGCACAACCTCTTGCGTAAGGTATTATATTTTAAGTGGCAGAACATATTAATTATAATGTCAACTGTCATAACCCAACCCAATATGACTTGATACCATATAAGTCATATTGTGCTCTATCATGGGCAGACATTAAAAAAATTTTTTTGACCCCAAGATCCACTTGGAAAAGTGATTAGAAAAAAACTAAATTTTAATTTAAACATACTACAGAGCCACTAACAAGCATAACAAAAATAAAAGACAAGCATTAATAAAACCAAACGAACCTAAACATACATATAGTAGAGATCATAGCCTATTATCAAAACTATTCAACTCATATCTTACCCTTTCTCGGACTTAAAAAATGGAGCAAAAGTAAAATATGAGTTAACACAACTCAGAAGGCTGTCGTAGCCTCAAACAAAATTCAATAATTTAAACCAAAAAGATTGAAAATATTGTGTTGTAATAATAAGGTGAAACTGAAAGTGATACTCCTAATGAATGTATTTGACAAGCATTTAAATAACTACTAAATTGAACTGAAACTAAAACATCACCAAATGCCTTATAGCAAATTTCAAAATAGTCCTCAAGCTCCTTTTCTTTTCATATTTAATAGTTAGAAGAATCACTTACCGTTGCAACATAATATGTTTTATCCGTAAATAGAATCTTTTTATAGGGAATATCAAAATAATAATCTCACTCCAAACTCATAATACCCCTTATGCTCAAAATTTTCATAATTACTAGTTAACAAAATCCATTATCTCCTCCAAAATAATTGTTAATATAATTTCTTCTCTCCACCAAAATAATTTCACATTACATTTAGTACACACATATTCCAATATATTATTGTAAGTACAGCATAATCGAAGTCAATTAAGAGTTTATCAAAATACTTTAATAGTAGGCAACAAAAAACCCCTGTCAATAGCAATTTATGTTTTTATAAATTAATCAAATTACAAGAGATCATGTATGACAAAGTTATGAAGCTTTTATAAAAATTTTGAATTGATATCTCTATTTTTCAAAGTTATATAGCTATAAATGTAAAATAAATACTCAAAATGATAAAAAAAGTCATATTGATAACATATCAAAAGTTACCAAAACAAAGATCACCGAATCTGATAAAACTGCATTTTTGCAAAACCCTAGTTTTTTTCACTCTCATCTTTTTTTTTCTTAAATTTATTTTATATTTTCTTTTAACAAAATGAGTTTAAACTAAATGAAAAATAAACATTTAATAAAAATGTGAAACTGGATGAGGATTTATTTATAATAAAATATCTTAAGGAAATAAATATAATTATGTCAATTGTTCAATCTTTTGAGAAAATGTATATAAATTATTATATGTCTTCAAATTTGTGGATCCAAAAATTATGGAATAAGAAATTGCAATAGTGCCAAAAAATTAGGGGAAAATAATCTTAACTATAGGACAATAATATCTATGTTGGACGATTTACAATTTAGACATATGATGACTCATGAAATAATTTTTAACTGTTAGGAGTTATTACATTGATAATCAACTTTCTGTGCTTATATACAAAGACTACATTTAAATTACAGCAGTTGTATCAGTTTCTCTTTTATATATAAAATGCAACATGAAATACAATAATATATAAATAAAAAAAATTGCATACTAGCCAATAAATTCATGAATTCATAACTTTGAATGTATCTCATGAAATTGAAACGGTCAAAATGTTTGTGAGGAAAATACGTTTTTAGCATACTCAGAAGAGTTAAAATCCTTAGAAATTAAGACAATAAATTACAAGAGTAAGAGTATAGCCAAACAAGAATGTCCCATAGAGCTTTCCCTCTCTCTCTCTCTCTTGAATTTGTGTATATAAATATTTATGTGAAATGAGTAAGGAAAAGAATAATGAAAAAGTGATTTGATATGCTTGATATGACTGATATATATTAAATGTGATATTGATCTAATTTAAAAAATGTATTGATTAATATCATATATATAAAAGATATCATAACCCTCCGACCTTCGTCACTTAAGATCTCTGCCACACACCAACTAAGGTACCACAAACCTCCGGCACATGCCGACTACGGTACCCAGAGCTCTATCACTCGCTTACTACTATCTCTCAGACCTTTGTTTATGATCCCTTTGACCTCTGGCGTATGTTGAGTACGAACCTTCCTACATTCATCACCCGTCGACTACGGTCCCTTTGATTGTTGTTGCCCACCCACTATGGTCCCTTTGACCTCCATAAGTGCATTGGGTCCCTCTAACATCCATCGAACGCCAACTGCAATCCCTCAAACTGTCATGATCCTCAGACTATGGTTCCTTCGACCTCCGTCGCTCACTGACTACGGTCCCTTCGACCTCCGTCGCTCGCTGACTACGGCCCCTTCGACCTTAATTGCTCGTCGATTAATGGTTTGTCGACTACTCTCTCTTAGACCTCCAATCATCGACTATGATCATTCAACCTCTGTCGCCTGTCGACTAAGATCCCTCCAACTTCCGTCACTATTGGACTACGGTCCATCCGACCACCATATCCTGTTGACTACGATCCCGTCGGCCTTTGCCGTCCACCAACTACTTAATTATTAATATTTTAAATTATATTAATTAAGTTAACCTTAGGACGTTAGGGTTTGCTTTTCAAGTTTGACATTCTTGCTTCGAAGGAGCAAGAGCCGCTTCTTCGGCTCCTTTGTTGTTGTTCGACTTCGCTCCTTCGACGACGTACTATATTCATGTCGGAGCGGAAGTTACGACATTTTAATCGGAAGCAAGGACGGGAGCTCGCTAGCTGTGAAGGTAACTTTCTCACTTTCGCGCGCTTCTTCGGCCAAATCCCGTAAATCTGCCGAACTACAGGATTTAGTAAATCCGGGATTTACGACAAAAATAGGGAAATGGAGGATTTATTCCGCCCTGAGATTTACATCGAGCGTAAATCCCGTTTGGAAGGGTACGCTAAATCCTGCTAAAATCTGGCGTTAATCATGTTGCCAAACAGCCCCTGAAGATATCGTTCGCTCTGACGCCATGGACGAAGTATCTCTGTCTCCATCTTCTACATTAGACACAAGAAAGAAGAATCCAAAGAGGAGGTGGAAGCAGAAGATTGCAAATAAGGCGAACTCTTTCGATTCCGACCGCCTCGACTTCATTCCTTGGAAACAAGCCGAGAGCAGTGGCGATCCATTCGCCCTTCTCTCCGGCGGCGTTGAAGGAGGTTTCTTGTCCGAACCTTGCCCATGTTTATTATTTTTTTTCTCTTATGGTTGCCAGGGAATTTATTTCATCCTCTGTTTTATTTTGGGAAATTAGGGTTCCTTTCCTTGGAAGAGATTGACGAGTCGGAATATTGTTTATTCAGTGGATCACCGGATATAGAGAGCGAGGAAAAAGCGGAGAACACTACTTCTTCCAAGTTGAAGAAGAGGAAGAGGGTTAATGTTGATGCAGAGTCAGAGGGGGGTGATTCGTGCGTAGTTAACGAGGAAGGTATAAAAGAGAAGGGTAGTAAGAAGAAGAAGAGGAGGAGGAAAAAGAGGAGCAATGATCACAAGACGAAGGAATTGATACCTGATGGCGAGCCGGAACAGCAGTGCGAACCCGCTGAAGGAAGCCCTAAAGGTTTGCCACCTTGTTTTATCTTTTGGTAGTGTGCATGGCTACTTTTATTTAATTTTATACATGCTTTATTTGCTTATTTGCCCCGCGTAGCTTTAGTAGTCTTCAATTAGGGTCTATTTGGGCGGAAGCAGCTTTTTATAAAGATGATTGTAAAGATAATGTGACGAAAGTAACTTTTTGGACATCAACTTACATACAACTTCACACATTAATATATTTGGTTGCAAAAGGTAGCTATCTGACCCTAAATATTATGAAAATCAATGACAAAGTAGTAGCCAAATGGAAGCGTGGTTGCGGTTTGAAAAGTAAAGCAGTTAGAAAGTTGTCTTAAGTAAGCCCAATCAATTTGACATGCTCAAGAAAAAAAAAAAAAAAACACACACACACAAGCCCAACTAGTATTTGTAGTTTATATTTAATTTTTAGTGCATATCAGCTGCAACACCATTCAAAAGCCAACCAATATTAGAATTTTTATTTTCCTGTTAAACACATAATTTAAAATAATGGAATACACGCATATGAAGTTGCTTTTCTATCAATGCATAGCAACAGAAAATTACATGTAGCACAATACAATATTATTCAACATTATCAAATGGAGCCTCAGGTCTGAACATTAGGTTTTTCATTGATATATCATGGAATTTAGTAGCTATGTCTTCTTAGACACTGCCTTTCTTACAACTTACCTACTCATACACCCTCACTTTCTTTTTTATAGCTTATATGTAGCTTTACCGATGTATTATCCTAACGAGGATGCACCAAGGTTTCATATTGTTAAAGTTCTTCTCAGCTTTGCATGATATTTTTTTTTTAAATGAAGTTAGGGATTATAAGCTTAAATTTGATGGAAATCATGATCATCTCCGCGATCCATTATCATCTATAGAAAATTACTGAGAGAATTGATCATGATGCTTTGAAGAACATGCTTATTATATATATCATGTATCAACCAAAAAAATGTTAAAGCTGGTTTACCTTTGAAGCGTATGTTTATCGGTAAAACTTTTATTCCGCATAAGGCACTTGTTGAGTTGTTGAGAACTATCGGTGATTTTAAAGTATTTTGGTTAAATTGGTTTAGCGAGATGACAAATACTAAAGGGAGGCCAAGTGATTGTAGAGGAAATATTTTTGTATTGATGTTTGTGAATGAAAGGTTTTTTTGTAAGATTATGGTAATTATGGAGGAATGAAATTTATGAATCATGTAGGGGTGTCAATTCAGATCAACGGGTCAGGTTCGGGTCAAACCCGGAACTAACCTGACACTATTCGGGTCAACCCAAACCCGACCCGTTTAGAAACAAGTCAGGTTTTCGAACCCGAAATCGACCCAATTTGGGTCCGAGTCAACCAAACCCGACACGAATGACTCGAGGTTGACCCAAAATTGCTAGTTTTCGGGTCAAAATTGGGCAAATCTTCGATTTTCGGGTAAAAAACGTATCAAAATGGGTCAATCTCGGGTTTTCGTGTCAAAAATGAGTTTTCATGGAATTTAAGGTCATTTTTTAGTCAATTTTGGGTTGCTGGGTCAACCCAAACCCGACCCGATTTTTAAAACGGGTTGATTTGTTTAACTCGAACCCGACCCGTTTCGAGTTCGGGTTGACCATAACCCGAATTTTTTCGGGTCGGGTTCGGGTCGGGTTTCAGGTTGTGTCAAAAATTGACACCCCTAGAATCATGCAATGAAGTTATGGGGAATAATACATTATCTAAGTTTATAAAAATCACTTGGTTATTAGATAAGCAATTTAGCCATTTAGATCTATCATGGAGGTGATTTATGTGTGGAGAAAACTAATGCAAACATAGTGAACAATGGAGGGCCATTATATGTTTTTTGTTATTTTTAAAAAGCAATATGATTGAGTTCTATGAGAATTAGTTTTGTGAGCATTGAAGAAAAAAGATGTGTGTTGAAGGTATGGTGAGATTACTAAATGTATATTTGATGGAGATGCCTACTGTTTAGAGTGATTAAAAATTCTCCAATCACGATAACATTACATCAATAATGAACATCGACTTCATTTTTTTCATGGGTTATGAGTTCCCTTGCCTTAGAGAAACATATTTTAAGTGAGGTAACTTTTTATGTTCTATCTGCAAATGAAATAGTTTTGATTGGTTATACAGCTTCTAAAGTTGTGAAACGATGGAAAATAGAGTAAATTTTTGAATATGAGGCTTTGAGTTAGTAGAACAAATGCTAGTTGCATAAATGTTCAAAATTTTGAGGTGAAATTGATTAGTATTTGTTAATAATGTATGAAAATAAATTGCAGACTATGTGATAAGAGGATATCATAGAAACTTTCACTTTAAAATGTTGATTTAATTTACTATGCTAAATTGATTTTGAGGGTTGATCAATAAATAGTTCATTGATAATTGAGGTGGTTTTTCAAACAATTAAAGTATAATTAAGAACGAGTGGTGGGACTAAGAAGGTAGAGTTGTAAATGAGTTTATTGAAGTGGCATCATTAGTAGCATTTATTGAAGCTATGGCGGTAGTAAGTAGACTTAAGTTGGCTTGTGCTTGTACAACTGAGGATAGAAAATGCACAAATAAAGTGGTTTGATTGAAGTAATATGGAGGTATGCTAAATTGATTTTGAGGGTTGATCAATAAATAGTTCATTGATAATTGAGGTGGTTTTTCAAACAAGTAAAGTATAATTAAGAACGAGTGGTGGGACTAAGAAGGTAGAGTTGTAAATGAGTTTATTGAAGTGGCATCATTAGTAGCATTTATTGAAGCTATGGCGGTAGTAAGTAGACTTAAGTTGGCTTGTGCTTGTACAACTGAGGATAGAAAATGCACAAATAAAGTGGTTTGATTGAAGTAATATGGAGGCGTGAGTTTACTAAACTTTTTAATACTATTTTGACGACTAAAAAGATGTTAGATGAGTGGAGAATGAGTGTGTTAATTCCTATTTTTAAGAATAAAGGTGATGCACAAGATTGTGCGAATTATAGAGGAATTAAGTTAATGTGTCATACTTTAAAACTATGGGAGCGAGTTATGGAGCATCGGTTGCGGCGTAACACAAGGTGGTTTGACCAAGTATTTCCCTAATTTAGTTGGGTTACATCAAATATCAGCCTTAAGCCCATATCTTTTTGCGTCATGGATGTTCTCACTAGACATTTGCAAGAGGATGTACCTTGGTGTATGTTTTTTGCTGATGATATTCTTGTTGTTGATAAGACTAGAGAGGGAGTTGAAAGTAAACTTGAATTATGGAGGTCAACATTAGAGACTAAAAGTTTTCGCTTGAGTATATCTAAAACATAATATATGGAGTGTAATTTTAGTAGTAATAGACCTAGTGAGGGGATTGTGACTTTGGGCGAACAATCTATTAATAAGAGTACACGTTTTATATATCTTGGATCTATTGTTCAGAGTGATGGTGAAATAGATGGGGATATTATCAGCAGAATTCAAGTTTAATGGTTAAAGTGGAAGAATGCTTCGGGCTTGTTGTGTGATAAAAAAGTACCCCTCAAACTTAAGGGAAAATCCTATAAGATGATAGTGAGGCCTGCAATGCTTTATGGTGCTGAATGTTGACCATTAAAAGAGAAACATAATACTAAGTTAAGTGTGGTGGAGATGAGGATGCTCAAGTGGATGAGTGGCTTTATCGTTAGAGATAGGATATGAAATGAGCATATACGTGAAAAGGTTGGAGTAGCTCCAATAAAAGATAAGATTAGAGAGAGTCTCCTTAGATGGCTTGGTCGCATAAAACGGCGGCCTTCCAATGACCCAATTAGGAGAGTAGAGGTATTAGATTTGACTTATGTTAAGAATGGTAGAGGCATACCTAAAAAGACTTGGTTAGAAAATATTAGGAATGACATTTCTTTATTAGATTTAAACGAGAATTTGACATTTAATAGGACACAATGGAGAAAAAGGAATCATGTAGCCGACCCCACGTAGTGGGATAAAGGCTTGATGTTGTTGTTGTTGTTGTTGGCATTGCAATTTTGCAGCAATCCTCTTTCACTTTCATGTTATTTTTAAGATGAAAAATATTTTGTTCTCATGTTAACTTCCGTTTGCCTTGGCATTGATTGGTTAAGAAAGAATACTTGCTAAGCTTGTCTTACCCTTACTCTGTCATCCATCTCTCATGGAAAAATTTTCGCAGTGTTTCAAATTTTTATGGCTACTACATGTCAGAAAATGCCACTGTGGCTCTTGGGTTTAATTTAGGATAGCAATTGGATATTTGGGATGAAACTAGAGTAAAACTTGTGCTTTGTTTTTATGGTTATCTTAATATTCTGCTGTAAATACTCTCCTTTCTTCATTCCTCTTCCAAATCCTAGCTTGCCGTGCTATCTGGGCTTTTCATGCCATAGCGTTGTCATATGCTAATGGCAAATAAGGTTGGATTGCCAGTTATTATATTGTTAGTTTGTTATGTTTGTATTCTTTTGTTTTGATGATTTCTACATATAATTAATTTCAGGAATGGGATATCCTTATTGTACTAGGTAGCATGCATCTATTTCTAGCTTTTAGGTTTTTTTGTGGATATGACACGTCACCTTCTTTTCTTGCCCTTTTATTGCTATGTTGAAAGCCAAAGCCCTAGGTTTCATTCTAGTTTTATGGTGTGATTTGTTGGTTTCTCTCAAAAGTACTAGTAATTACTTTTTAGAGGTATTTACAGGGTTCACCAGTGGAGCTTTCACTTATTAAGACAAATTTGGTCACAAGTTTCTTTTGAAGTGCTTGGGTTGTAATGTACTATGGTAAATTGCAGCCTTCAGTAGTTTGGATTTACTGAACTTGATTTTTTTGTTTGAGATTAGTGCTCACACAATATGGTTTCATGGAGGTATTTCTGTGCCAACCATAATGATGGTAAAATTGTAACATTGTTCTTGAATGCTTTATCATTCACATATTTATAATTATGCTTCAAAGCACTTTAGTTGTGTATCTTTGAATAGCTGGCAATGCTTGCTTTGTTTTCTGGTTGCTTTTGTTCTTTGTAAGTTGAATGTGGATTTCTCTGAGTGTTTATCCTTACATGTAACCCTTTTCAATTCTCATTTTATCTGTGTCTATCAGATGATATCTCACAATATGTGCATCTACTAAAATTTTCGTAGACTGAATCTTTAAGAAGCACGCCAATGATAAAAAGTGCAATTCACAAAGCGAAGCAATGAAAAGAACATGCATACTTTGGAGCAACATCTAGCTGCATGCAATTGCTGATATTGGCGAATAATGAGTTTAATGGAAGAATTGATGAAGGGATGCTATAATCTTTATGCCCTTATGATAAGAAATTGGCATATTAGTTGGATTAGATAATACTAGCCATTTAGTTGGATTATATACCTATTTTAAACTTAGCTTCAATATTTCATTGACAGGAGGTTTTTTATTCAGTGGAATGATAATGCATGACAATGGGAAAGGACATTGTTGCTTCGAATTGCTTTAGGGGTTTTATGTTTTTTGGGTTTGAAATATTAGAGTTTCATTATGAAATTAGGTTTTTGTTTTCCATTGAAGAGTTAGGTGACGACGTTATACTAATATTTCTGATGCGGACATCGGTACGAAGATTTGGTGCATCTATCATAGGAGGCGTCGTAAATCGACGGCTATAATTTAAACCTTTAATTATGATTTATTTTTTTTATGAATTTTAGTTCTTAATTAATGTATTTCCTGTTTTACCCCTAGGATAGTTTATGTGAGTGTTATGGCCCAAGGGGCAATTTTGTAAATTTTGATTTTTCTCATGTTGTGGCCTATATATAGGGCCTTTAGCTATTGTAATGGGGATGAAGAATTGATATTAAAATTGTGTCCACACTTGTGTTCTTGTGAGAGAGCGTTAGTGAGATTCCTATGAGAGGAATCAGAGTCTTCACCACCCGCAGGATGGGTCCGGGCTCGTGAATTGAAGTCCCTTGGAGAAGGGCAAAGAATCACCCGTCAGTCTTTGGAAGAGTCCAAGGCTCGCGGTTTTTAATTTCTCTCTTTCGTTTATCTTCTATATTTCCTTGTTTTTGTTTTGTTCCCTCTTTTGTTCCTAGCCTTCGTCTTTCTTCCTCCTCCCCTCTCAACCCCTCGGCCAAACCTCCATACCAAGCTCCACAAAATTTTCCCCATAGCCGCCAGCCACCTTCCCCCGATCCCACCCCCTCTTGGCCGCCGGCCACCTTCCCCCATTAGCTCCTCCACCGCCGGCCACTCTTGTTTATCTCCATGAATGAGGAGTCAATGTCCCCTTAATGCTTACCTAAAGAGTTCAAATAATTTAGGAAATTATTTTCATCCTTTGAAATTCAAATTTTGAATCTCAAATAGTTTCCTAAATTAGAAAGCCATTTTAGGAAAGTCTTAACACCTCATTCAAATCAATTTCTGTTTTGATTATGATTTAAAATCTTCTTTAAAACCCATTTATTCTCTTTGGAAATATGTCAAAATTTGAGAGTTTTGTTTTGACCGAAATTTACAAGCCTTTAATCACTTTCCAAGTTATGTAGAGGGAATTAGGAATTAATTCTCTAATTCACCTCTTCATTCCCGAAACTTCTCCTTGGCATTAATTCTTATTCTCCCCAGCACTCTCCTGGCCGAAACTTTCAAGGCCCCACATCTTTAATTACTTCCAAAGTTAACCCCCCTCTTGATGAAGTAATTAATTTCTCCCCTCTCTACACCACCCGCCCCCTCCTCTCCCTCATATTTTTCTTAATTTCTTTCATAATCAACAAGCTTTGATTGGAGGAATTAACTTCAGTTTTTCCCTCCCAAATTCAAAAGAAAATTCTCAAATATCTGTACATTAATTGCTCTGATTTCTGCTGGCCGAACTCCCCCATTCCCCTTTTCTTGGGTTTTTCTCCCCCAACGTCCTCCCCTCTACACACCAAAACCTGAAACTTATTTCAGGGTTTGAGTTGGGCTCTTCTCCCTGCAGGATTGCATAGGAGAACTTCTTCCTTGCCATCTATAGTTCAAGAGCATCCTCAAGTGAATTCCAGATTTCATTGATCCAATTTGGGAAGACTTTGGAGTTGAACATTCGGCTGGCTGAAATCCTCCAAAGTAGCAATGCTCTCCTACCCGTTCTACATCAGTTTCTCAAAATTAATTTGTATTCATGCCAGTTAGGTCTACTATGGAAGCTATATATTTATTGAGAGGGTTGATGAAGAGTTATGGATAGAATAATGAAGATTTACCTATGATATTTATTGATTTAGAGAAAGCATATGATAAAGTTTTGAGAGAAGTACTTTGGAGAGAAGATAAATTAGTTAATAATGTTTATATTTAAGTCATTAAAGATATGTATGCAAGTGCTATTACTTGTGTTCAAATTGACCAAGTATTTTTCTATTTTAGTTCATCATTTGGATTACATCACAGATCATCGTTAAGCCCATATCTTTTTTTGCTTTAGTCATGGATGTTCTTAGTGGACATTTGTAGTCGATTAACCCTGGTGTATCCTTTTTGCTTATGACATTCTTCTTGTTGATATGACTAAAGAGGGAGTTGAAGGAAGCTTGAATAACGAAGGTCAATCTTAGAGTCTAAAGGTCTTCGTTTGAGTAAATCTAAAATCAAATACATGGAGTGTAATTTTAGTAATTATAGATCTAGGTGGGGGGATTGTAACTTTGGGCGACATGTCATTAATAAGAGAACATGTTTTAGATATCTTCGGTTTATTGTTCAAAGTGATGGTAAAATAGATGGGGATATCATTATTAGAACTCAAGTTGGATGGTTGAAGTGGAGGAATGCATCGGGTCTGTTTTGTGATAGAGAAGTACCCCTCAAATTCAAGAAAAAATTCTATAAGTTTGTGGTGAGACTGACAATGCTTTATGGCGCATAGTGTTGTTCATTAAAAGCGAAGCATAAAATTAAGTTAAGTGTGGCGGAGATGAGGATGCTCAAGTGGATGGGTTGCTTGACTCTTAGAGATAGAGTACAAAATGAGTATATATGTGAAAAGGTTGGAGTAGCTCCAATGGTAGATAAGATTAAAGAGAGTTACCTTAGATGTTTTGGACACCTAAAACGTCAGCCTTCCGATGACACGGTTAGAATAGTAGATGTATTGGATTTGGCCTATGTCTTGAAAGGTAGAGGCAGACCTAACAAAACTTCGCTAGAAAATATTAAAAATGATCTTCTTTTATTAAATTTAAATGAGAATTTGACACTTAACATGATACAATGGAGAAAAAAGATTCATGTAGCCGTCCCTCCATAGTCGGACAAAGGCTTGTTGTTGTTGTTGTATTGAAGTGGATGAGGAAGATATTAAGAGTGATGGATTGCAATTTGTTTCTTTGTGTTCTTATTTTGATTGAGCTGTTAGGAGTAGATGAAAAAAGCAGATGACATGGACCTGAGATTTGTGTTTCACTGGAGTACTGGAGAACGGCTTAAATAAATTAAATTCTTGGGTTTAATAGGACCCTGTTTTTAAAACTAATCAGCTGAAAAATAGGGTCTGTTTATTTTATGAGTGATAATTTATTCAATAGGACATATCTCTCCCCATGGCATTTTGGCTATTTCTTATTAGCCTAATGGTGGTGTTGCTAAACATGCATTGTTTTATTTTCCTATATTATGTCGCCCTTATTATGTAAACTAACGTGCCTTTAGATCATGCTGTGGAGTGTATGATGTTCCCATTTTGTTTCTCATTTTTTTTTTAGTTTAACTGATAACTTGATTAAAGTTTTCTTGTCTTTCTCTTTCTCTTTAGCTGACATGAATCTTATATATTTAATGTTGATTACATACTCTACAACTAAGTTTTTCCCCAATTGCCATTTGTTTTTTATCTTTGTTTCTTGCATTGCACAGAACTTCTCTGGCACTTTATTTCGTTTTTATGATCATAAATACAATTTTTTAATAAAAAATGAGCAGAGTTTTGAAACTGCTAGCAAAAGATTTTTTCTATGATTCGATCTCTGATTTTGTTCCTACTTCAGCAGACAGTAATAAAACCAATGCTGAAAGTGGCACAGATGAAGAACCTTTTGGTGATGATGGAATGTGTGCTTGGAATGAACTGAGACTCCATCCTCTTTTGATAAAATCAATGCGCAGACTTGGATTTATAAAACCTACTCCAATACAGAAAGCTTGCATTCCTGTTGCTGCTCATCATGGAAAGGTTATTCTTTGTGTTGTTTATGTTGATGTATTTCTTTAGATGACTAGTTTATCTTGAGAAATATGAAATTCACAAAATGTACTGTTTCTTATATTTTGGGCCTGAGTTCCAATGCATAATATTTTGTTTAAATATTATGCATTGATGTAACTATGATATATTATGCTCTGTGCTAACGATGATAGTTTTGTTTTTAAATCTAATTTATTTATTTGCCAAAACTTTTTCTTTTTAACCATTATGTATATTTATATGACAGTATGTTTTTTCTGACTTTATATCATTTTTCTATCATATTGTTGAATTATTATTGAAATATTTTTTTTCTCTAATGATTTACACTAATTTAAATTTAGTAAAAGTGGCCACTATTTATGAATGATCGAAATGATCCCAAACTATATTAAAACACCATTTTTAGTCTCCAAATCTTTAAAGAGGAATCAGATAGTCTCATGTTTGGATTAGTTTGATTCCTCTTTAAAGATTTGATAAACCAAAATGTTCATTTATTATAGTTGGAGATCATTTTGATTCTTCATAAAGAAGAGTCAATGAACCATTTTGGTCTTTTTCTCTTTAAATTAAAGCACTCTAAACTATGCATTATCTTGGCTATTACTATTGAAAACTCTTGTACTATAGTTTGCTCTTTGCCATTGACAAATTTGGTTAACCTAGTTCTTGAAGGCATCTATTTCATTGTGCTTCATCTTCATCTTCATCTTTGAGTTACTTAGTGTGGGCGTATTCTTCCTATTTCATAGCCATGTATCATTGCAATCTTTTTGCACAATCTGCTTGAAATTCCTTAAACCAGTTAGGCTTTTGAATGACTATTCATTGTTATTTCTTTCACAGGATGTCATTGGTGCAGCACAGACAGGTTCAGGGAAAACCCTTGCTTTTGGATTACCGATTTTGCAACGCCTTCTTGAAGAACGGGAGAAGGCCAGAAGATTACTTGAGAATGGTACTGGAGGCACTGGAGGCTTTGGAGAAAGCCACCTTCGAGCACTTATTTTGGCTCCGACAAGAGAGCTTGCCTTACAGGTTTCTATAATTAAGTTTAGTTATTATAGTGCCCATGTTCGTGAAGTGATGCAGCATTCTTAATGCCTTCAATTTTTTTCACGTGCATCCACATCCAGTGAATCCTGATAACGTGTCCACTAGTTCTTTTTCTTGTAAATTTTAGATGCCATATGCACCATTTGTAGTAAAATTATAGGGTCAAGGCTGTTAGAATTGTTTTGTAATGCAGTACTTTTATGAATTCTGCCATGCAGGAAATTTGATTTGTGTAATACGTAATAATTATTTTTTCACATTTATCCCATTCATCGAATGGAACTACTTTTTTAAGTTATGAGCACAAGTGTTTAGTTTCTTGATTCTTGGTACAGGTATCTGATCATCTCAAGATCGCAGCAAAATATATCAATGTTCGTGTAGTTTCCATAGTGGGTGGTATGTATTCAGAAAAACAGGAGAGGTTGCTTCGAAGGAGGCCTGAGATTGTTGTTGGAACTCCAGGAAGGCTATGGGAATTGATGTCAGGGGGAAATGAACATCTTGTGGAGGTTAGTGGGATTATTATCTTATTGTAAACCTGAAAACCCCAGCTCTAATATTTGTAAAAGAAAACAATTCCCAGCCTTTTTTTTTCCGCATCATGTATTAGAACTTTTCGTGGTGCTATGCAACCTTATTGTCTGCCTATTAATCAGCAACAGAATAGTAAGCCCAATGATGAGATTCCATCACAAATAAAAAAAAAAGAAAATAAAAGGCTTAAAATTACTTGAACAAAGGCGGAGTAATGTTGCATTAGCGGGCATGATATTAGTAATCTTCAACTGATATTATTCGAAGTTATACTTAAATGCGATAGGTTTATTTATTTTGGAGCCATTATATAGAATAATGGTGTTTAGTTAAGGATATAACTTTTAGAGCTATAGTTGGGTTGAAGCCAAGAAATGTTTTAGGAATTTTATGCGCCAATAGAACATCATAAATACTTAAAAAGATTATTTTTATTGAATTGCCTAGTTTGATCTTTGTTAGGAGGTAAAGGCATAATTCATAACCAAATTAAGTATGATAAAAATGAGAATATTAAGTTGAATTTGTGGCCGAACTGATAAATATTGGTTGAGAAATAACTAAATTTGTAGGATTGCGGTAATGGAATATATTAAAGTTAATGTTAAAATAGATGTGGGAAGTTTGGACATGCACAACAAAATATACATGTTGAAAAAACAAGATTGTTATATAAAAATGAATACCCAAGAGTTTCGAAGCAAAACATTATATTGTGGCAAAACTTTCAGGAAAGATTGTGCAAAATATGCGGAAGACCTCAAGCACTGCTTTAGAAGAAATGATTGGAAAATCTGGATTCATAAGCTGGCCCTAATAGGTGGGATAAGGCCAAGCATGCAGAAGAAGATGATGTTGATGAAAAAAAAAATGTAGAAGATGATGATGACATTCTGGCTGTTTATAATTTTATTACTGGAACTATATTTAATATAGTTGATGTTTTTGTTTGTTTTTTGTGATGCTGAAACTAAAAATATTTCGTGTCATTTTTGCAGCTGCATTCTTTGTCGTTCTTTGTGCTGGATGAGGCTGATCGTATGATAGAGAATGGTCATTTTAATGAGCTTCAATCCATCATTGACATGCTTCCAACTGGCAACAGCAACATGGAGCAAACTTCTGAAACCAACAAAACTTACAAAACAATCCCCAATTTGCCACGAAAGAAGAGGCAAACATTTGTTTTCTCTGCCACTGTTGCCCTATCTGATAATTTTCGCAAGAAACTTAAGCGCACTTTATCCAGTACAAAATCAACCTTGACAGATGGATTAACTTCTATAGAAAAGCTTTCAGAGCGGGCTGGAATGAGACCTGATGTTGCAATCATTGATTTGACAAATACTTCTATTGTAGCAGATAAGCTTGTGGAGTCATTCATCGAGTATAATTTTTTATCTTAATTCTATTTATTGTTTATGGAATTGATTCTTTCCGTCTTTTTAATTTTTTATTCCTTCAAGAATATCTGTGGCTAATTGATAGTGTAGAAGCTATGGTTTAAATCTGTATGCTTCAGGAAACCATAGAAGCTTACTAATATGTCTGAAAAGTGCATCATCATGCTATGAAACATGGAAAGTGATATTGTGCGATGACTTTGCCCGGCAGCTTGGAGTACTGAGGTGGGAACAAATGGTCGGATTGATATTTTAAACATTCTCATATCATCATCAGAATGACAAAGCCAACTAAACCATAAACTTATGAACATTCCATTTAGTTTAACCCTTCTATTTCATTTTTATTTCCATAACATATATTTACAAAACACTTAAATAAAACTATTACATCTGATGTGTACAATACCTAACTCAATTGCTATGAATGAACTTCCTCTTTTCATTCATTTAGACTAAAAAAGTCCTTCCTGAAAATGGTTAGGAACTAAAAAATGAGTTAAACAATTCAGTGGCTAATTATATTTATAGCAACTCAAAAAAATAGGAAATTATATACATGCTAGTTTTATAAATAAATCTATATCATTTCATTTTCACGAAACATTAAGATGTAGTTGTAACAATAGCATAATAAAATACCATTTGCTTATTTTATTGTTTTCATAACTATCTTCTTATCTTTAGATACATCCGTAGTAGGAGCCACCGTCTAATTAAGTTGCACCATAAAGACATAAGATCTCATATTTTTCAAATTTAGTTCTGATGGGTTGGTAATCATTTTCATTTACATTTATGTGCACGAGCGCATTGTATTTTTAATCAGTACCATAAGGGTCAAATTCATTCACACCAACATGTTCATTTGAGTTCCTCATCATATATTTACTTTAATCATCTCATTTGCATATCATATTAGGAAGCAATCAATTGAGATTCAAAATGTGGAAATTATTGAATATTATTCTTTTCAATATGGGGATTTCATAATGAAAGAAGATTATCATTTTAGAACCTTGCAATGGCTTTTTGATATAAATCAAAACAGTCATCAATGCATGTAAGGAAGCATGAAAATAATGTCTTCGATTTAGAGGAATGGAAATAATTACCCCATAATTGAAAATATAATTATCAACATTCTTTTTAGATGGCGTGATTTTAACTTAAACCTTGCAAGTTGCTTCTCTTATCTTTATCTTCGAAAAATATAAGTGTTCTGCTTAATTGTTTTTTTTTATAAATCCAATGATATTTTTAATTGTCTTTTATTTATATTTTGTCAAATTTAAAATGACTAAATAGTTGTACTTAAATTGAATATTCTAACACGTTCATTCAATCTCATTACCCCGCCTTATTTTTAATATGTCCTAAATTTACCATTTAATCAAAGATTTTTAGATCATAACTCAAATATTTTTGTTATTCTCATTATGAATTTAAATAAATTTTCTTAGGTTTCTAAAATTTTTTATTAGAATGTTCCAATTACATTTTAAAATTTACATAAAGCATTGATGTAGAACGAAGGGGGGGGGGGGGCATGTGAATTTTGATTGGGGGGGGGGGGTCATGTGAATTTCAAATTTTCAAATTAATTGGAAAAGGGAGGGAAGGGTCGACCAAAGAGAGAGGGAAAGGGGATAGGATGTTCAGGTTCAATGAATGTGGAATTTGAATTGATTCCCAATTAATTTATGATTTACCCAATCCTTGATTGAAGGAAGACTTTCCAAAATTAAGCTAAATGATTTAGGAAAGAATTTGAAAACTTACCAAATTAGAACAACTTAATTTATGAAAGAAGAAATTTTAGAGGGAAAGGGATTTGATTGAGAGCATTAATTGAGAGGAATTAATTAATATGTGAGGGAAAAGGCGGTCAAACGAGGAGGGGGAGAGATGTCCATATACGGTGTATGTGGCCCAAGGCATTAAATGAGATTTGATATTAAATGTGAAATTGATTTCATATTTAGAGGAATTAGGGGAAGGCTTCCAAAAATAGATTTGTTAATTCAAAAAGGATTTGAAATTCAAATATCTTTTAATTCAAATTAGGAACTTTCCAAGTTAACAATATATTAATTTAGGAAGGTAATAAAGAGGCTATTTTGAATTCAAAATTTGTGGAGGAGGGAAGAGGCTAGGGGTGAGGTGGTCGGCCGACTATGGAGGTGGAGGGGTTGATGTTTGATCCAAAAGAAAAGTTAACCAAAATCAAACGAAATAAAACAAAAACAGATGGTTAATGGTAGAGACAAGAGATGTGAGGACGAAGAACAAAGAAAAAATAAAATAAAAACGATACAAACCACGAGCCCGGACTCTTCCTGTGGCTGGTGGGTATACGTTGCCCTCCCCGAGGGACTTCAATCTTAGAGCCCAGATCCATCATGCGGCTTGTGGAAACAAGGTTGTCCTCCCATAAGAATTTTTCTCTCCAGAACTCACATAGAGATCAAGACAAAGGCTCAAATTCTTTTTTTTTTATTAATAATCCATTATTACATTACACAAGCAAGGGCCTCTATATGTAGGCCTAAGAAACTAAAACAAGACACATATGCCCCTAGGGCTTACATAAGACGACCCTCTTAAGTGAGGGTAAAAACAAAAAATTCATAATAAAATAAAAATTTCAAATAAAATTTAAGATAACGTGGGAAGATGATGGCCGTCGATCTTCAGCTCATCCTCGGATAGGCATGGAATGTTGGATGTCCGCATCAAGAATTATCTAGTTAAAATAATGATTATTAAACCCCTTCAAAATCTTTCTTAAAATTCCTCTATATATACACATATTTTCCTCCCTCTTCTTCTTCATCTCATTCTTTTTCTTCTACTTAGAGAAAATTTTCAGGAATTCCTTGAAGCTTTTAGGAGGAAAATGGAACTTACCTTAGGGCTTGAGAAGATATAAGGAAGAAAATTCTTAACTTCTCGACTTTGAATTGCCATTTCAATGCATTTTCAAAGCCTAACTGGTTGGTTAGATTTCCTACCCTCGGTCGCATGCTCATAGTGCATGTGTGGGTTTGCCTCTCAATTCTGCACTAGTATGCTCTCGCATGATTGGCCTTGCAGCTTGTGCTCTATGCTCTGCTCATGCGTTTTGACTCCGCGGCGCCTGCTCGCCTCCCGCACCCTCTCACTCTATTTACCACTCTATATCTCTGTTTCGCTCTCTATTCCTCACTCTCTCGTAATCCTCCCACTCAGGCTCTTTCACGCTTATATAAGGTGGTGCTTGCTTGATAAATTGTCACATGTTGTGTAGAGTTTGATTTCATGCGCTGATTAAAAAAAAAATTAAGATGATTTTTTTAATTATGTTAAAATTGAGTGTTTGCATGTTGATCCGTAGGGTACCTCCAATGTTTTTTAAGCAGAAATGTACTGATAATTTTATTGGCATTGCCAAACTTGGATCGATTCAGGCATATGCATTTTCCTGAAAACATTCACTGAAAGGGTGTTAAAATTTTCTAAAACAAGATCTTTATTTTTGGATAGGCATAGTATTAGACGATTGTATCATGATTTAACTAAATTATAATTATGAAGACTCATATCATTATGTATATTACGACTGGTTTTTTAGTTTATGCTGTTTCTCATTAGTCTTGACATATCATAATTTTGATTTGAGCTGAAAATATATTATTTAAGCCACTATACTACATCAGCGCCTTCTTTTTGGTCCCACGAATATGGGTATATACTTGCATGATAGTTTGTTCAATTGCTGCTAAATAGAGGTGAATTTATTTTCCATGTAACCGCACAACAAACACTTTTTATAGAATAAATTGTAAATTTAAGCTACATGATCTTGGGGCTATGGTCTAAGAGATAGGAAAATGAGTTGGCTTTTTACTTCTATTGTTTCCTAAGTATTTTAGTCTATAAGCTATCAAAATGTATGTTGATACTAGTAATATGCACTTCTAAAACTAGTTTCCTGGCCTAATCCGTCACTCCAATTTCCAATTTGTAGTCAATCAGTTGCAGGTAAAATATGCTTTTATTAATGAACTCATGGTATATATGCGACATTCCTTAACCTGTAAGGCAAAATTTGATCAAATAAAATGAAGTTTGTGTGGATGACCTGCTTCCCTTCTATAGCAAGGTTTTTCTTTCAAAATATTGTTTTTTGATCTTGCTATTTATATCCTGTTTTTGCGACATTCCTTACCTTGTAAGGCAAACGTTTCCCAAATAAAATGAATTATATGTGGATGGTCAACTTTCCTTCTAGAACAAGGTTTTTCTTTCAAAATATAGTTTTTTGATATTGATATTTATATTTCATTCTTGCTTCCTTTATAGCCTAACTTTAGGCGAAGTTACATTAATTAGAATTTCCTGTTTTTTCTATGGTATTGATTGAGACAAATAGTGTTGATTTTCATTTTAGTGCTATTTTGTTATATGCAAATGAATTTAGAGAACATTATTGTAGTAATCTTAGTATTGGAGCACATCTGTTAGCATTTGTTTGACTTCTGATACATTGAAACGTGGATATTGTCAATCTCGTCATTCTTACTTTTTCTTAAACAAAAATAGTTTGTTATCATCTCCAATGCTTAGTGTATCTTCCATAGAAACCATAAAACCTTGCATTGTGGTTTCTGACAAATTATATTTACGATGCATGGTACATTTACATTAACAAGACTTTGTTCGCTTTTTGTTGTTAATTATTATGTGATATTGTTTCTTTGAGACATATTGTAAAACAAGTATATGCATTAAAAAGTTAGAGTAGCCCTACTCATAGATAAGATTAGAGAGAGTTGCCTGAGATGGTTTGATCACTTAAAACGTAGGCGTTATGGATAGCCAATTAAAAGAGTAGATGTATTAGATCTAGTCTTTGTTAAGAAAGGTTGATGTAGTCCTAAAAAGATTTGATTAGAAATTATCAGAAAAACCTATTTTATTAGATTTATATGAGAATTTGACTCTTAATAGGACACAATGGAGAAAAAAGATTTATGCAGCTGGCCCCACGTAGTGGTGTAAAGGCTTGATGTTGTTGTATTATCTTAGCTACGTTACATTCTTAGTTTCTTGACTTGTGGCCTTGTGTTTTTTATTAATAGGTGTGGTGAAGATGAAAAAGATGCACACTTATATTACATTCTAAGTGTTCATCGTAAAGGTCGCACAATTGTTTTTTGCACTTCAATTGCAGCGTTACGTCACATTTCATCTTTACTACGTCTTCTTGACGTGAATGCTTGGACCCTTCATGCTCAGATGCAACAAAGGGCCCGCTTAAAGGTATTGTAGACCTTTTATCAATTAATGATTTAGTATTATTCTGTATTCTCTTCAGTCTTATCTTGATTTATTAACATGCGGCCTTCATTATTCGATTTCTTGCCTGTATTCTGCATAGGACCAGTTGTTTTTATTATGGAATCTTATTCATTGCAAATTTGGGGGTTTTAGCTTGTTTATAATAATCAATATTATATTGTACAATAGGAACTTAAATGATGCATAATGCCAAATTTGCATTTGTTAGCATTAAGTCATACTAATTTTGATAATTGTCAATGCATCGAACCCTGATAAGGAATTTGCATTCAAACTTGAAGAATCAACTTCTTTTCTTTTCAGAAAAAGCATGAATCATTAGGTCTTTTTTTTCTAGTTACATGCATTCTTGCCCAATTCACTTTTACTGTATGATTCTAAATTTTCTTTGTTTTCTTCTTCATATTCCCCTCTGAATTACATCATGCACATGTATGTGCGGGCAATGTAATCTATATCTACTTGCTTTGACTCATTGTTTTACTGTGAAATAGTGCAACAGATTACGAATCAGCTACTTGGCCAGCATTTTACTTGCTTGTATTTTTGTGTTATTGATATATTTTTTTCCCAAACTGTTATTTTGAACTGGATATTGATTGTGTTTTGTGTATTTGATTCTTAGTCCGTTCGCTTTGATTAACTGTTTTGTTAGGAGATGGTTCTTTCCTGACCATGAAAATCAGTGATTGATTTGGTCAAGGTTTGAAATTGCACAATCGGGTTTTGAGGCATTTTCTTTTCATGAAATGAGGCGTAAGCCTCAAGATGTTTTGAGATGCAAGCCTCAAAATTAAATCATTAAATGAATAAAAAAATATAAAATAATAAGTAACATATTAACGTCAAAGTAATATATTAAAGTAAAATCATAAAAAATGAAAGTAGGGTTATTAAAATTCATACAAGGATATAAAAAATACTAAATAAAAAGTGTCTCTCATTCCTAGTTCAACATAAACAAGTTGTATAATTTAATAATTTTTTAATTTAAAGTACTCTAATCACTTAGAGGATTTTCATTAAAATCATTATTGTAATTAAGTGCTTTGATTTCTCCCTTATACTAAAACTAAATAAACGGGTTTCCAACAACTAGAGGAGAGTCATTGGAGGAGAAGCAGTGGTGGTTAAGTTGTAATGGAGATTTAGCAGGATTGATTACGGGTGTAATGTTTTGTGTCGTGCGTTTGGAAGTTTGAGGTTGTGTGGTTTCTCCAGTTTGGTTTGATTTATGTATAGTGAATATGTTTAGTCATATATAAAAAGTTCATAAATTTAAAATTTTAAAATGGCTTAAACTCCTTTCGATTCTTAAGCATCTTCAAAATTGTGTAAAAATTGCATAGAGGCGTGCCTCAGCCCAACTGAGATGTAAGCCTCATCTAGCAAATGTGAGGCGCACTCCTGATTGCTTTTTTAAAAAAAAATTATGTTAATGGAGAGCCTTGAAGTGGGCCTGAGCAATTTTAAGCCATGGATTTGGTTGATTCAATAGATTTGCTTTTGTTTTGTTTCTCATACTCAAGCACTTGCATGTATATGAACATATGATATATCAGATTATTTCATGTGAATGGATTTCCTTAATTTCTAAGGTGACTTTGGGTTCATCATGCTTAGACAGGTTTACCTAATGTTCTTCCACTCCAAGGCCGGTCTGTTTAAGTATTTGTCTCTTCCCTGTTCCTTTGATTAGTTGCAGTGTAAGATAGCACAGAACCAGTTTGATGGCTCCTGTTACATTACCTGTTCTAATGTTTTGTCCTTTCACACTTTTCTCTCACCATTTTCTTTCAATTTTAGTTGAAAGATTCTCTTGTGTGCCAGCATTTAAACTTTTATTACTGTCTTGCCTTGTTAATTATGCATAGATGTAAGTTTTTTCTGCGTTGTTGTGTGTGAGTATTGCTATAAGAAAAGTAATTTGTGAGTATGTGAAAAGAGAGCTGGAGATTAATCCAAAAAAACAATATTGTTTTCTTTTGCAAGAAAGGCCTTGAATAAAGTATCGTTACATTAATGCTAGGCTGCTAGCAGATATAAATTTCTAAAATGTTTACAGCTTGAATTTTAAATCAATATACTATGCATGCATTATGATTGTCCAATAAACTGAGTACTACAGCCTCTTTTATCAGGCCATGGATCGGTTTCGTGAGAGTGAGCATGGGGTCTTGATAGCTACTGATGTTGCTGCAAGAGGCCTTGATATTCCTGGTATTCGAACTGTTGTTCACTATCAACTGCCACACTCGGCTGAAGTATGTCTAAGGGTTGATCTATTTTAATTCTATTAGCATGTTGTTTCTGCTTAAAACAGATCAAAGCCTTTCTATTCAGGTTTATATTCACAGAAGTGGTAGAACTGCAAGATCTTCCTTTGATGGTTGCTCCATCGCACTAATTTCCTCTAGTGATAAAGCAAAGTTTTCTTCATTATGCAAATCATTATCAAAGGTTCTCTTTTACTTACTCTTTTTCTGTACTCCACAACTCAAATATTTCATTTTGTTTGGAACTTGGAAGGACATATTTTTGCCGTTTTAAGTTTATGTTTGCTTCTTTTTTCAACCAGTAAACATTCTAAATGAAAATGAAGCCTTCAAATTTCACGAACTTCAAAGTTATTTAGTAGTGTCTTAGGCATCTAAAGTTTGCACCTCATTGAATGAGAAAATGATTCTTGATATTTTTTATGCAAGGGTACTCAAATAAAATTCTTTGTCTTGCAATTTTCGGGAAAAAAAATCATAGTTTAATTTGCTAAAAAAATTGATAGATTTTGTTTTTTTGTTGATTCCATTTCTACATGAATATTTATGCGATGGTCTTTTCTTTAGAACATGCATCATGTGCAAGCCCCTAAGCTTTTCTTATGTTGTAGATCAACGTTGATGATAAATACCTTATTTTTTATGTTTTACGATAAAGATTTAATGCTTAGAGAATTGAAAATTTTTGAGGTATTAATCTTGTATATATAGACATAACGGTAAGATCATCAATGTGTATAGTTGTCTGTATAATTGTAAATGATTTGACAATACTGTATGTGATGAGGACATCAGAAGATCAATGATCTACGGTCACGATCTACTTTTGATTATTATTGTATTTGATGTATTTTGTTTTATGTTTTATGAGTCTATTGTATTTCTTTCCGTGTATGCACTTGCTTAAGGGCCTCGTCATATGTTTGCCTTAGGGGCAATTGTGTCTTTGTATTTTCTTTATCCCGTTGGCTATTTAAAGCCTTCCCCTCTTCATGTAAGGATGATGAATTATTGAATGAAAAAGAGTTTGTTCTTGTTTGATCTCTTAGTGAGTTCATGAGAGGAGAAGCCTGAGGAGGGCGATTTGCAATACCCGTCAATCTTTGGAAGAGTCCAAGGTTCGCGGTTCTTACGATCTCTTTGTGAGTTCGTTAGTTTAATTTTATCTTATTTGTATTTTTTGTTCATCTCCTTTCTCCCCTTCTCCATCCACCACCAGCCATCCCCTTTCCCCCCAAGTCCTTCTTAGCTCCACCACCTCAAGCTCCCACCGACAACCCAAGCCCTTCCCCTTCCCCTCTG